GATGGACAATAGCCACAAAACTCACGGAGCAAGGCACGATGAGCCAAAATTGAAATGAGAAATTATATGAATCATAAACTTAATCGAGCGGTATTTTGACAAAAGCATTCATTTGAGGAGGAGAAGAATCTTACTTTTTGTAAGATTGAAAGGGAACAACAAAACCCCCAATCTTCCCACAGCCGAACTTCAAAATCTATCACCAAACTCCATTTCAAAATCACACTTCAAAGCATCAAATAAGATCCAAATAACTCATATCTAACATAATCATCAAAATCAAATATATAAACTTGACAATCCATAGTCAACATAAACTTCAAAACTAGAAACTAGAGAATCCATATACTACATAAACTATACGGTCCTTACCTCCCATAGACCACCACCCAAAGCTCCCCTTCTTAAGACTTGAATACTCCATGATCAACATGCTATATACCCATCAAAATGGACCTTCCAAACATACCAAATTAAAACACCCCACATAAATTTCTATTTAAAATAGGATTCATAAATCGAAACAACCCACATTTTAACCCATTCCAAAATCAAATCCTAAACCATCCAAAAGTGAAAATACAACTTAAGGGAGAGATTAAAGAATACCCACTCAAATCTGGCAACTACCCACTCGAATCTGCAACTACCCACTAGAATCTGACACTACCCACTCGAATCCACGACTACCCACAGTTTTTACTCATAAAATTTTTCCAACCCAACTTCCAACATTTCTCTAACTTTTTAGTCATGGAATTTCCCCAACCAAACCAACCAAATAGATTTCAATTCAATACTAAACTTTTCCAACATTTCTGTTTTCTACTTCTTTTACTCCCACGGACAGGATTGATTTCAGAATTTCAAAACACGATGCCACATAATTTCCCCAACCAACCAATCAAGTGAATTTCAATTCAATACCAAATTTGCAACATTTTTCAATTTTACTCTTCAACTCCCACAGACAGAATCCATTTCAGAATTTCAAAACATAATACCACAAAAATCAATTCGATAGAACACAAAACCATATAATCGATTTGAGAATTTCAATACTCAAAACCAACAACACAATACAATACTCATTCAATTCAATTTCAATCTAGACCATAAACATGCACAAATTGAAATGGATTTTGTAAAAAGTCTAAAAGAGAGTCATGGTTTTTGAGCAAACATCTCACAACGATTATAATCAGGGTGACTGGACGGCAAACTCGTGGGGTGATGTAACGGGGCTGGCAATGGGGATGTTGGTGAAGAGAAGAACCCACAACGAACTCACAGAGACTGGCAGGAATGGACAGCGGTGAGTGGGCGGTGACAGCAAAGATATGGACAGCGGCGGACTCACGACGACTAGTAAGGCCGAACAGTAGAGATGGATTTTGATGGAGAGAAAAATCGCGATTGAATGTTGAAAAAGAGAAGAAAGGGGGAGTGTGCCCTAAATTAAAACATGTAGAACTTTTAGCGAAACCACGTCACTGAAAATATTTTTAGAGACGTCGTTATGAAACGGTGTCGCTGAAAAATAATTTTTAGCGACATGGTTTTATAACTGCGTCGCTAAAAAAATTTTCAGCGACGCCGTCTCATAAGGCCGTCACTGAAATTTATATTAGCGACGTTATTTATAACCGTGTCGCTAAAAATTATCTTTACTGACGATTTTACAAAATGTCGCTGAAAAAATGTCGCAGAAACTCCGTTTTCTTGTAGTGATGCTTTTAGCGACAACACCAGTGTCGCTGAATATTTCGTTTAGCGACATATAGCTTATCGCGTCGTTGAAAATAATATTCAGCGACACTGTATATTGACGATGTCGCTGAAAGCATATTTTAGTGACATTATTGTTAATGTGTCACTAAAACTATGTCATTGAAAGCTCCGTTTCTTGTAATGATATAGAATATGTTCCAATGCGATCCAATGGTCAGTCGTAGGAGAACTCATAAACTTACTCCTCATAATACTGACTGGATAAGCTATGTCTGGCCTCGTAACCATAAGATAATTAAGCTTCCCTACTAATCTCCTAAACTTCTCAGGATCTTTCAGCAACTCTCCTTCCTTTGTAAGTTGTAAATTAGTGTTGGGTGTGTTGCCCTAAACTCGTAGTTTGTATTTTGTAAAAACAAATGTCTATTTAATAAAGTTTTATTCAATAAATTTGTTGTTGAATCATAGCTTTGCATTGTCCAAAATCCAATAAACTAAACATCCAAGGTTATTTATGATGTAATCGGGACGGTATATATACTGGGTATATAGTTGATATACGGGGTATATATTTGATATACCCCTGATATATGAATGGATAATGTCCCGTGAATAATCTAAAGGGTCTATAGTATATGGATAAGGCTGGGTACCTTATCCTGGCAACACTATGGATACGGCCCACTCTGTAAAGGTTACAGACGACTCGATCCAAGTCGTTTGTGTGGAGACATGCGAGTGGGGGTATCCTATACAATGAGTTTGTATAAGACCGGACCACGAAATAGGCAATCTTTAGATGTAACACCGTTAACTAATAGGTTGCTATTTCTTAGGATGACCAGACAACTCATTCTCAATCCTGAGTGAGTTATGGACTCCTGCCCGTGAGGGCTCGTCCTTTGATCTGTATGGGTGAGAGTGGCCCGAGTCGCCGACTCAACATTCCTACCATTTTGGGGACGAGACCGAGTGGAGAGCTGGGAACATAACTTCACAAGATGGAATTCACTCCTCCCTGACTTTAGGGGAGTAGATGAGTGTTCCCTTAAATGCTGACTTCGGGACTTGAACAAGGGGCCCCACCCTCTCATTGGCCGAGAGGGACTTCCGGTTATTGGTTGGACCATAACCGGGTTGTTCATTAGAGGAGCAGTGGTGTTTAAGGAGTAAGATGTAACTMAGGGGTAAAACGGTAATTTGACCCAACTTGAGTTACGAACACTCGTGAAGGATTGACTCGTCATTAATGGTTGTATATCCATGGACACGAAAACATTCTGCAGTGAGAAGAGTACAATTGTGGGTCTTTAGTGGAATGACCCGTAGTTAACGAATCTAGATTAACTCGGTCAATGAGTTTGACCGATTAATCTTGCATCGTTGGAGCTTCGGATCTGTAGGTCCATTAGGTCCCCTTGCTAGCTCATAACGGGTAAAACGAGGATCAAATTTTTGGAAGAATTTGAACTGTTCAAATTTCTTAAGGGATTATATGTATCATTGGGGTACTACGTGGCTTAGCAGCTAACTTTCCTGTTTCAGTTAACAAGTCAAGTACATATTTTCTCTGTGATAAGAGAATCCTCTTCTTGCTCCTTATTACCTCAATTCCTAAAAAGTATTTCAGCACTCCCAAATCCTTCGTATGAAGTTGACTATGAAAGAAAGTTTTGAGTGATAGGATGCCTGATGAATCGTTACTAGTAATCACAATATCATCAACATATACAACTAGTAAGATAACACCGAACTCAGTTTGTTTATAGAAGACAGAATGGTTTGACTTACCTTCTTCATTCCAAAGTCCTCAACCACCTGACTGAATTTTCCGAACCATGCTCGTGGACTTTGTTTCGGTCCTTGAAGATTTCAAACCGTTTTGATGCTGCAGCGTCGACGAATTGCAAAAATTCTTCGGGCTCTGCAGCAACCTTCTCCTTGCCCATTTTCTTAGCTTGCATGTCCACCTTCTACTTTGGCCCCTTCCCTTTTTCGAGCTCAGCAACTGGGGAAAGCTTTCTCTTTCTCCGTGATTTTCTAGCGAGCACCGGAGATGCTTCTACCTCTTCTTCTATTTCTCTTTGCCCTTCG